TTCAAAGTTGATTTCATATTATATCTTTAATTTGTAGAATAAACCATGGCCAAACCTTGTTGTAGAAGTAGCATTTTTGGAGTCTGTTGGTCATGTCAAGGAAAAGGCACGTAATTACTGGTTACATAACAATTGTGCCCATGATGTAATTGTTGTTAAGATTGATTATGTCCCCGAAGATCAAATTCCTCAGCGTATGAGAGTAAGTATATTTTCACAGTGTATGTGTCAATTTTTTGTTGTTGTGTAACATTCTAAAGTTTTGATCCTCAACAGGTATGGCATTATTGTGTATCAGGTACATATGTGCAACAAAAACTTAAACCTATAAACAAGGTATGTTACATCAGCAAACCTTATTCTCCGTTGATTTATAAAATTTATAATATATTAATATATTGGTTAATATTAGTTTGAATTTGGTACACACGATGCAAATGGGAATCCATTAAATTACCTACAAGGCACACGTGTGATCAAAATTCCATTAGATTGTTTATATTACAATGTAAAACCGCCTATTCAAATTCCTACAAGTATTTTACCAGATCCTATCTTACTTGATTTCTTTTCTGTTAGGCGAGCAATCCTCAGATCATTTGGTCTTAGATAATATTTTCTAGTTTTCATTAAATATTTGTGCAATTATATGCAGGGATATCAAAATTGGATTAACTGCACATGGTTTAGATTCTCATTAAAAATTATGTGTATTAATGTATATATTAATATATATATTTTTATCGTGATTATTATATCTCGCTTATATGTAATTAATTTTTCTTTTTTACTTTGTGACATCGCTCCCTTGAGGCTCATTATAACATGATGAAATTTTGCAGTTATGATGTGGTTATAATTATTTTCAGATTGAATTTTTATTCATTTGCTATATCTTTAGCTGAAAAAGTTAACAATAAACATTTTTCTTCTTTGAACATATATTATTATAAATATAACTTGCAAAAATGCCATCTGAAATAAAAGAAAACGTAATTGATACTAGTGATGAAGTTACACACCTCGAGTTCGTAGGAGATGGGGCATTGGCCTCCAGTGAGAATATCACCCTTTTGGAAAAATTTTTAGAGTCGGCATGTAAGAAACAGAAAGCATCTTATAGTTCAAGCCTAAGAAGCCTCAAAATTACAGATTATTCTAAACTCTCAGATAACAAAGTTCTAAGCATATTACACTCATACCAGGGTTGGCAAATTGACTGGTCCATTGAGAACAGATGGATTTTGGACTGGTCCATTGCCATTAGTAAAATACTAAATATGGTTAAAGTGTTACACTAATGGACCCAATGGACCACCAATGGACCATCAATGGACCACACATTTACCAACCCTGGCTCATACCCAAATATAACCAGTCTAAATTTTGAACAAAGTAGAAGTTTTACCGATACGTCACTTATAGAAATTGCCCAATCATACCCCAACTTAGAATCTCTCAATATTTGCGGTAACCAAAATATAACAGGTCAATCCATATATAAAATTGCACAATCATGCAAAAAAATATGCTACCTTGATATTGGTTTTTGCAGGAACATCACTGATGATTTCGTATATAAAACAGTAAAAGCAAGTTGTAAATTAGAACTTCTGTGTATTGGTGGATTAAAACAGTATAAACCAATTTCTGACCGAACAATAATTGCAATAGCCCACTCATGTCCTAATCTTTACCATCTTTCTTTAAAGGGTTGTCATAATATTACTGATAATTCAGTTAATATATTATTGCAACAAATTCATAATTTAAAATTCCTAGAGCTAGATCAGTGTAGATTTATTACCGATTCATCTATCTGTAATATTGCTAACTCTTGCCCGAAGCTTGAACATCTTGATATTGGTGTCTGCGATGCTTCTGATGCATCTATCTGTAATATTGCGCATTCATGTAAAAATTTAAAGTATCTTAATATCAGGTGTTGTTGTCTTGTTACTAATATAGCTATTCATGAAATTGCTCAGCATTGTTCAAACTTGGAATTTCTTTCTATAGTAGGCACAAATATTACTAAAGATTCATTGAGCAAACTTAATCCAAAGATCAAGATAAAGCGGGATTCAACACGAACTTGATGATCTCCAGACATCACTTGTTTATTTAGTGCAGGATTTATGGTCAACTTATGCAAATCTCGAAGATATTGTACAATACTGCGAAGACAAGATTAAAGATGAACATTATCAAAAATCAATTGTGGAATTGGAGCAGGATATGAGAGGTACAGCTGAAAGGCTCAGTTTGATGGTACGTATGTATGGCCTTAATGAGAAAATTAATTATCAGCCTACAAACCCAGAATATGACACTAATTATGCTATTACTGAGTTTGTCCCACGTGATATAAAATATAGAGGTAAAGAATCCTTATCCTCACACATGAAATTCCAAACACCATGAAGCGAGTTCCATCAAAAATTACGTAAAAATGATTTCTTTTCCTAATATTCTGACAGTTCATATAGAACATCTGCTACTAAATAAAATTATTTGTAAACCATGATGAATGATTAGGAATAACCCCACCAGTCTCTCTGATATAATCATTGATTAATGGCTCAAGCAAGACTATTTAATAAATTAATTCGTTCTGAATCAGTCAATTCTGATGATACTCTAATTGCAGAAATAAGATCTGTTACATTTAATGTATTGGTTAAAACCATTCTATTAGGTCCACCGGTAAAGATAACGGTTTGAGATACCATTAATGGATCTGGAATAAGTGGAGGTAGATCAGAATCTGAAAATTCATCATCAGAATAATCTGGATGTTCAATTTTAATTTTTGAATCATGTTTTTTCATCACTTCTTCGCTAATCCCTTTACATCCTTCCAAACTAAGATATTTCAAATTAGTACAGTTGCGGGCTATTTCCTCGATAGTTTCATTACCAATTGAACAATTACCAAGCTCAAGATGTCTAATTTTTGGGCATGAGCGAGCAATTTCAGTGATACATCAATTAGTGAGACATATACATGAATTAAGACTCAGATGTAATAGCTTTGGGCAATATCTTGCAATTTCTATAATTGGTATGTTAGAGAAACCATCAC